ATATATATATATATATATATATATATATAATATTATATTTTATAATTATTTACATAAGTACTTTTATCTTTTTATTTTTACAATTATAGTTAATTTTATTAAGTTATAAAAATAATTACCAGTTTTTGAAATATAATTACAATATAATAAAATTTAGTTTTTTTTAAAATATATAATTATTTTAGTATAAATTTAATAATATCATTTTATTTTAATAATTATTATAATAATAGTTAACTTTTTAAGCGACTTGAAAAAGAACATTTATTTATTTATCTATATATACATATATATATATATATATATATACACCCGTGCCTTTATTTCTTATGTTTGTGTTGCTGGAAATAGAAGAAGAGCAAAACAATTAAACAAGCAAAATTAAAATAAAGTACATAGTTTGAAGTAGTTAACTAAACTGTTAATAAAAGAAGTTCAGATTTTTTGAACTGAACTACAAATAAGTAAAATTAAGTTTTTATAAAAAGTAGTTTAGTTTTTATAGTGCAAAATAGTATAGATAATCCATAGTTTAGTATAATTTAATTAATCATGCCCAGCCCTATCGTTATCAATCTCATTCAATAGTGTGATTTCAAGTTGTCGAGTGATATCGTTAAAGTCAATTATCTCATGTGATGTATTATCCACTTTGAGGTTAATACTTCTTTACAATTTTGTTCTTAAAAACACATCAAAGAGTGAAACAATGAATAAATATTTAAATTGTCTTAGGTTTTGACTTTTAAGTAATGTGAAAATATTGAATATATGAAAAAGACTTGCAAATTAATTTTGTAAAGATGAGTTAGGCTTAGAATACACTTCTTAACATGATATTAAAGTCATTGATTTATTGTTTATTCGGCTTATTGTGTTATCTGTTATCGTAAGATATGTTGTTTGTCAAGCCTATCATGCGACTTATTATCGAACCAATAATTAATGTATAGTCTCATATATTGAATTAGATTTAAAGTTCACTTCTTAACACTAATTTTAATACAAACTAATTTTAAAGTTATAATTTAGCTTTGTTTCAAACTAATTTTGTAAGAATGAGACTTATAATATATCTTTTAACATGGTATCAAAATCATATGTTAAAACTTATTTTAATAAGATTTATTTTTGTTTGACTTATTATATTATCCAATATGGAAAGATTTATTATTTGTTGATTCTATCGTACCATTTTACTATCGAACTACTAAGGGTTAAATATGTTTTTAGTCCCTGAACTATCAGACGATTTTGTTTTTAGTCCCTGCTCAGAACTTTGATGGTTTTTAGTCCTTATAGTTTTGAAACTCTGAGTATTAGTCCTTAAAAATGGACGGTGTTAAGTTTTTGTGGATGTGGCAAACGGCGATGCCACGTGATCACTGATCTCTGCCTTCACTCTCTGCCACGTGGGATGTTTAACTGTTGAATTGAGTATTGGTAAAGGTACCAGGAGTGTGCCTTCCAGCAATGGCATGAGCACCAGTGTACTGGGCAAACTTGAGAACCGCTCTCTGACCATAAGGCCGAGCAGATTGCACAATAATATCCTGAGGGTTCTCAATTGCAACGATAACCCTATCAGCAAGTTGAAGCTTCTCCCATGTCTTACCAAGGTTGATAATATAAATACCTAATACCAAATCCACACCACAACAAATCAAAACCACATTGCGCTCCTGTAGCTATTGCAGATTCAAAATTGTATAACACAAGGCTGTTGTCTATTGTATAACGATAGAGATAATATAAAAATGTTAGTTACCATCGTTGCGGCGCTTGAAGATGTAGCGCTCCATTTGAAAATCACAATTTTTGGTGCCGAGGTGAATGTCGGCTGCCAACATCATCTGGATGTCGGCTTCCTTTTGAGAGAGCTGGCGCGGCGGGGCAACGGCGTTGGTTGTGGCGGCCATGGTTACCTCTCGCAAGCTCCCAAACAAGAGCTTGAAAACCTTAGTGTTTCTGACTACAGCAAATAACCTCAGTTCAATAGTTAAACATCCCACGTGGCAGAGAGTGAAGGCAGAGATCAGTGATCACGTGGCATCGCCGTTTGCCACATCCACAAAAACTTAACACCGTCCATTTTTAAGGACTAATACTCAGAGTTTCAAAACTATAAGGACTAAAAACCATCAAAGTTCTGAGCAGGGACTAAAAACAAAATCGTCTGATAGTTCAGGGACTAAAAACATATTTAACCCGAACTACTAATAGATATATAAACTCAAATATTAAATTAAAGTCTACCTCTAAAGTGAATTTTAATACAAACTAAGTTACAATTTATTTTGTTTCATATATATATATATATATATATATATATATATATATCCCAAAAGGATTATCTTTTTTGGTGTCAATATTTATTTTTCAAATTTACCCTTTTAATAATATTTTTTTTATTAAAATAATTATTTTAGAAATTTTACCATTTTTTAAAATTTGATCGTTTTTTAAACTTAACCATTCTTTTAACTATAAACTACTTATAAAATAAATAAAAACTATTTACAATAAAATTATAAAAATTATTTATATTTAATTTAATAATTATAATAATGATAATGATTTTATTATTTTTCATTTTCATAAAAAAGTTAAGAGCACATGTATATGTTTTCACTAATATAAATTATTTTTGTATTTTCAATGCTACAAATTAATATAAATTATTTTTTATCAATTATTGTTAACTTTTTTGATGAAACATATAAGTATTACTTTATACTTTATATCTTAATTTATTATAGTTTTATATAAGTTTCAATTTGTTATTTTATATTTTATTTTGTATGTAACCTTGTTATTGACGATGAATATATTGTTGTGTTTGTTTTCAAATTTAAATATAAATAATATAATACATCTTTTTTATATTTTTTATGCGTTCACTTTAGTTTTTAGTGTCATAATTGATTTTAACAAATTTTGGTAGAAGGGAGAATGACTTAAACAAATATTATTAAACATGAAGCATGTGAAAAAAAAATTATGAAATCAATATTATTTTTTTAATCTTTTTCTATTCTATTAGTTAATCACATTGGTTCTCTTCGTCCCCTTTCTCATTTCACTCTAATGAAAGGTCTAATTAAAATATTAACCGCTAATCAAATTTCCTATTTTGTTCAATTGTTGTAGACAGGTGAAAGACAAAGACATACATTTTTCTTTTTGGTTAAATAAATTTATTTTCTATCTCTAATATTTCAGTTTAATACTTTGTTTATAGTGTAACCAGTTTAACTAAATTTTAAAAAGAAAAAAAATGTAAGAAAAAGATTTCAAAATGTAAGTAGTGGACAGCAATCTCTACACCTTTAAAAGAATTTCCTAAAACTATATACTATATTAATTATACTATTCATAATATTGATTTATATTTATTATACTTAAATTGGAATTATGGGAATTGAAGTATGAAATTTAATTGATTTATGTGGGAGTTTATTTTTCATTTATAGTTGAGTGTAAAAAATATGAAAAAAGAGATAATATTGTTGAGAAAGTAATAGAATGGATAACAATGCTTTGAGAATATTTTAACGTCATGTGTCATTCTGAGATTAGTTGATGTTTATGATTAATATTGATTATGAACTAATTTTGTATCATTATAATACCTATTAAAATGTTATAAAAAAAATATTGTTAAATTATCATGTTATAATAGTATTTCAATGGTGAATATAAACACCACTGGGTTTCTTTTCCTATGCGAGTTTCTATCTTCTATTTTCTTTCTCCCAGTTTCCCAGAAGAGTTGAAACTTCCATAATTCATGCTCAGTCGTAATCTTTCTCTTTTAGGGGTTTGTGTTTTCCCTTATCTTATGTTATAGTATTTTCCATGCTCATAATTCCATTGACATGTGAGTTTTTTTCTTTTCACCATACATATTTGCTTCATTTCAAAATCCTGCATCTTCTTCTACGTTTCTGTTATCCTGTAAAAAACTTTTATGGATCCAAACACTGTCATGAGCAGTTACGAGTTTGATGAATGGGATCTCAATGGACACTACACCAACCTCTTCACGGATCCTTTTTTCTCTCAGTCCGATGTGGGCCCACCTGGGTTTTCTCCAAATACAATTTTAAACGCTGACCCGCTTGTTTCGTCCTCCGCCGACTCCGCCGCTATGGTGGCTACGGTTGAGGAAGACACTGATTTTTCAGAAACCTTCAAGTTCATAAGTCAAATTCTTATGGAAGAGAACTTTGAACAGAAACCTTGTATGTGCTATGACCCTTTGACTCTGCAACACACTGAGAAATCATTCTATGATGCTTTGGAATTGGAACCGCCACTGCCTCTTTCCCCTAATCAGCACCCGCTTGAGAGCCCCGATGGTAATTCTTCCAATTCCACTACTGATTCAGCCAATTCTCACGACTTGAAGCCTTCTTCACCCAATACACCTGTTTCTGGTGGTGGTGAGGCTTTGCATTCCTCTACCCACGCGCCCTCTTTCTTTGTTCCTCCGTCTGCTTTGACAAAAATTAACGATGGAACCCTGGATATGGATTCTTCTGTGAGCAAGCTCTTGGCTGAAAATATTTTCAATGATGCAGAATCTATGTTGCAGTTTAGGAGAGGGTTGGAGGAGGCTAGTAAGTTTCTTCCTCAGAGACCTCAGCTTTTCACTGGGTTGGAGAGCGCCACGGATTCTGCGGAACCAGAGGTAGGAGGGGAGGTAACCGTTAAGCGTGAGAATTCAATTGGGGTGAAGAGTAGAAAGAATCACGCGCGCCAACAAGATGAAGAAGAAGAAAGAAGCAACAAACACTCTGAGGTTTGTGTTGATGAGGAGAATGAAATATCTGAAATATTTGATAAGGTATTGCTTAGTGTTGAAAATGTGCCACTGTGTGCTAGTAAGAATGTATCTGTGGCAGTGGGAGATGGTAACGCAAAGCTGAGTGAGCAATCGCCTTCGGTCGATGTAGGGAAGGTTCGTTCCAAGAGGCAAGGGAAGAAGAAGGAAACAGTGGATTTGAGGACCCTTTTGGTTCTGTGTGCACAAGCTGTGTCTGCCAGTGACAACAGGACTGCTAATGAACTACTGAAGCAGATTAGGCAGCATTCTTCTGCTTTGGGTGATGCCTCACAAAGGTTGGCTCATTATGTGGCCAATGCTTTGGAGGCTCGCTTGGTTGGTGCCGGAACTGGAACACAGATATTTTATATGAGCTACAGGAACTTCACTACTACTGATTTCCTGAAAGCGTACCAAGTTTTCATATCTGCCTGCCCTTTCAAGAAATTTGCACATTTCTTTGCAAATAAAATGATTATGAAAACAGCAGAAAAGGCAGAAACTCTTCATATTATTGACTTTGGTATCTTGTATGGTTTCCAGTGGCCAATTCTTATCAAGTTTTTATCAAGTAGAACTGGAGGGCCTCCCAAGCTGCGCATCACAGGAATAGAGTATCCCCAACCAGGCTTTCGCCCATCCGAAAGAATCGAGGAGACTGGTCGTCGTCTAGCTAAGTATTGCAAACGATTCAATGTTCCCTTTGAGTACAAGGCCATACCATCAAGAAACTGGGAAACCATTCAAATTGAAGACCTTAAGATTGAGAGCAATGAGGTGCTTGCTGTGAACTGTCTGGTAAGGTTTAAGAATTTGCTTGACGAATCAATTGAAGTGAGCAGTCCCAAAAATGCTGTTCTGAATTTAATCAGGAAGATGAATCCGCATATTTTTGTTCAATCCGTGGTAAATGGATCTTATAATGCCCCTTTCTTTGTCACGCGCTTCCGGGAGGCACTGTTCCATTATTCTTCAATTTATGATATGTTTGATACTCTGGTATCCCGTGAAAATGAATGGAGGTTGATGCTTGAGAGAGAATTTTTGGGTCGGGAGATCATGAATGTTGTAGCATGTGAAGCTCTTGAAAGGGTTGAGAGGCCTGAAACATACAAACAATGGCAGGTTAGGAATACTAGAGCTGGTTTTAGGCAGCTACCACTGGACAAGGAGTTAATGGCCAAATTTAGGAACAAGTTAAGGGAATGGTACCACAAGGATTTTGTCTTTGATGAAGATGGCGGCTGGATGCTTCAAGGTTGGAAGGGTCGCATTTTGTATGCTTCATCTTGTTGGGTGCCAGCATAATTTATGTCACCCAACTCTTGTTTCAGAACTCATTCTGGACACAAGGTACGATTCTAAGGATCACTCGGAAATATTTAATCTTTTCACTTTTATTATAATCCTAGCTATGCGTAGCTGTTACCAGAGTTTAAACAGCATATATGATGTAACAATGAAAAGCTAATTGTGTTCTTTTGATTGTTTCAGGTGACCTTCAGCTATTGTGAAATTTGATGAATATTCTTCACAGGTTCGCACCCAGTGACCCTGACTGTATAATAGTGGCAGAATTTCCTCTCAGATTAGCATCAAATCCTACAGGGATTAGGACAAGAACATTAGTTGTAAAAATGTTCTTGTATCACGGGACAAACTAGCGACTGATTCTATTGTTTATTGATGGATGACTGTTTCATTTAGTTCTACAGTTACCGTTTTTGCTTCTTGTTTTTCCTTGAAGTATGATTTTAATTCAGCAAAAACAACTAAAACACAGTTTGGGAGAAAGTTTGATACCAACTTTTATTGAACGCTGCTGTAACTTCCGTTGAATGCCTTTGGGTTGACTAATCTCAAATATTTTTCAATTGAAGAAAGCATATTGTTGAGTATAGGTAGACCTTTGAAGCTTCTTCCACTATAAATGCTTATTTCCTTTCCGAAAGAAACTTTCTATAGTTTCCATGTATGAAGCTTTTTACCCATTAAGTCCGTGCTATTCTAGAAACCACACGGTGTGTAGACATTGGACACCACAATGGGATCAAAACGAGAAAATCATCACTAATATAAAGTAGCTTCCACCTTCAGCTGGGAATTGGAGGTGCGGGAAAATAAGCTTTTACATTTAACGCAGAAAAGACATGATTTTACGATTTTGAAAGCAATTTCAATTTCAACTCGAAAAGTTTGAGCAAGCACAGTTGTTGATTTCAATTTCAAGGAATTTACAATGACCAGAGCATTTTTGTTTGTATTCCTAATCTTGTTTTTTTTTTTTTCGTGTGTTTGTATTTTGTTTTTAATCTATGATGTGTTTTCTTATTTTAAGATAATGTTTCGTAGACAATAAAAAAGTTATTTCCTTTAATTTAATTTAAAGTATATTTTTAACGTGTATTGTACCAATATTCAATAAATTTTGATTATTAGTAAGATATCTATTTCTTTTTAAATAAGACTCAAATGTTTGATTATTTAGATTAATATTTGGTCGTAAAATAAATTCATTCAAAATAAAAGTCAACTAGTCATAATAAACATGACAATCATAAGATATTAATTATTTATTATTACATGTCTATTATATCATTTTTTAGTTAACTTCGTTATCAAATATTTTTATCCAAATCTTCTTATTATTCTAAGACATCTTGACTCTAGAAGGAAGAAGAAAAGAAATATAATCAGGAAGGATATTTTAAAGTCTTGTGAATATCGTCTTTATTTTTGTAAAAATATTTAACAATAACAGTGAAGTCGATAAAGATTTTTCAAAAAAGACCACATAATATATATAAAAAAAACACAACGAATAATGAGTGATAACAACTAGAAGAAACACTAAAATACCACAACCAAAAAGCAATATGGTAACATCATGGATGAGACCTTCTTAAGGACTTTGAAGAAAACTTGGAGACAAAATATATTTTTTGTATTTTTGTATAATTTTTTAGTTTGGACCCTTGACCTTTATAAGTGTTTTATTTTCTATTTGTTTATATTTCACCTTTATTAGATATTGTATATGTTTCTATTTTTTTTAACTAGATACTTTCTAGACTCTAACTCTAAGAAGTTTGTTGAATAAGCCTTGGTAGCATTTGGATTCATGAGTACAAGGTTGATAGTATGTAAACTTTTTTTTATAAACTTTCCTACAATTAGAATTTGAGTATTTTGGAATTTGAATAAATTTTCAAAGTGAAAAAACTTTCTTAGTTCTTCTTTAGAATTTTTTATCCATATTTTTTTAATTTTCAATTTAAAGTGTTGGATCTTCATTTAATTATTAATTTCACTTGATTATGGTGTCCATCACGGTAGAATAAAGTTTCTTTATTGCATTTTCAATTTTACCACTCATTTAGTAAAAATTGTTAGAATGATCCTACACAAGGTTAATGTTTCATCACAACCTTGTTGCTTAGTTTCAAAAGTAACTTGAAAACCTTAAAAGGAATAATGTTACACAGAATGCTCAAATTGAACAAAAATTGGATACAATTTGTATGCATTGTGTCATTTTGAGCTTAAATACAATGAAAAGGAAAGAGAGAGTCTAACCTATCACATCTTCTTTCCCTTGCATAAAATATACAAGGAGTTGATTATCGTTAGAATATCAACACCCAATAGCATGTATATTCCCAAATGTATTTAAGAGTTATGAGTATCATCGTTACTCTTGTATAAACGACATTATGGGAATGTCATTTTTGAAAAAAGATAACACTAACATAAGAAACATCAATCACAAGGTAGTTTTGCATCACATAGTCACAACTCTGAAACTAAAGCCATTTTATTGATAGTCTATGTAAAAAGTCAACATCAAACCTGAAAGAGCTAAGGCACAAATCCTCAAGTTCATGCAACTAGAGGAACTAAAAAACTTGTGAAACCAAGTTCAAACAAAGACATACCTTGTTAAAACACTTTGATAAAGCTCAAAATAGTAAGAATCAAACAATGTGAAAGTCCAAAGAGCCATGACAAACATGACTCCCTTGCTACCTAAACTTGAGCTATCATAGACAGACAATGAAATTACGATACTTGAGATGGAAAACATCCTTACTTAATCAATTAACAACAACAAACACTCGTAGTTTCGTAGATGAAAACTTGTGTTATTGCTTTGACAAAGAACTAGAAATGTGGCTCCTCACCACTCTACCTATCTTTTATTTATAAAAGGAAATCCAAATTTCTAATCGTTATAAATATCTACCTAATTGTTGGATCATCCTTCATCTAGCAATCATGATTGCCTTTTAAATTTCTGGATGTTAGTATCCCATTGATTGGACATGATTCATAACTATTTCTAAATGTTTCAAATTCTATGTCGATTCAAAGGTCCTTGAGTTTGGGATAGTCAGACATGTTCTCAACCAAATAAATGGATCTTTTTCTTCAAAAGACTTTTCATTGGTTCTAAACTCCTTATACCAAATGGGCCAATTGTTAGGATCGTTGCACAGTGGAATAATTGCATTTGGACAAAAATCAAGAAGGAAGAGGGTTAATTGGTTTCTTAATAAAAATTGCGCTTTAAATTTTTTTCCCTTTATAATATAGAGTTACAATAAAAAATTCTTCCTTTATAATATCAATAAATAAATAAAGAGATTATGGGGAAAAGAAAATTACACAAAGTATTTTATACTAAGTACAAAAAGATTCTCTTTCTTAGTTGTTATTCACTCTTAAGTGAATGATTAACTAAACACTGAAATTACAAACATTAATGGAATGAACAGTTTAGGAAAGAACATACATCTCTTGAAGAACCACATGAGATTAAGAACATCTTCCTTGAAACCACAAGAAATGAAACACCTCATTTGAATCACATAAAAGATTACATACCTTTCGAGTTAAGAGATGAAAGACACATCTCTTGAAATCCACAAGGGATTAACACTTCCTTTAACTCACACAAAGGATAAACAACTTCACCTAGCAACGATAATAACACTCAATATCACACTTAATGAAAGTTATCGCTCTACCCACACTAGGTTTTCAAAGTTTTTCCACACAGAGTTATAATCCAACTCCTATATCTGAAAACATAAAGCTTTGCTCATTTTATAGAAGAAAACTTGCTTTGGAAAGAGCCCATTTCGAGATTAGTTCAAAATATGAAAAACCAAGTTATAGCTACCACTAATGATCGACTATTTTTCAAAAATAATTTCATTCTGCATTATAATAGATTATCATTGTATGAAAAGGTTATTTTCCACTAAGTGTTTCAATGTTGGTACTTTGTGACTCTATAGACATAGCCTAAAATACTTCAACAATTATTACAAGAGTATAATAAAGACATTATAAAGAGAAAACATTGCAACAAACAAAATAAAGTCTTTCAAATATTTCTTGGCTTCTATTTCATCTTTGGCCTTAGTATCATCATCAAAGTAAACTTTATAAAGAAGAAGGTCTAACATATTTTTCTTTTGTCAACACCAATGTATGATACGGTTTGACATGTTATCAAATGAAAAAATGAGTTTCTCTTTCAAAATTTTGTAATGCTTTAAAATTCAATGAACATAAAGATTAGTATATAAATATTCCACTGAGCATATCTTGAATTAACAAATAGATATGAAGTAAAATTCTAATAAAAATTTAAATATTTTTATTATTTGTCATGAATATTAAATTAAATTTGATAATCAAATTATTACACTATAAATTTTGAGACCTGACTATAAACATTAGTATAAATTCCAAGATATGAAATATATATTATCATTGCATATTTATCATATCATTATTTTTCAAATCACATAAACAATGACAACCTTCATTGATAAAATAAATTAAACAAAAAATTTTCTCAACTTCACAAAAGAAGACATCTCAAGAAAAAAATATATCCTAAGATCTTGCAAAGGTTATCTCAACCTAATATGCATATATTTAAAAAATTATAATAGATTTATTTTAAAAATTATATCTAAGATGATTTTTTATTGATTATACAGAATATATATACTATAAAAATGCACTGATACAAAAAACTAAAAACTAAAATAAAATAATTATGCATAATTTGATATGTTAACAAATGGGGTGATTACTTCATAAAGACACTCAAAAACATGGGTGGTGAATGTGATTGGACACGTCTTCATTTACTTCTTAATCACTTTTGAATTCTTTACTTTATACACATTTTGACTTTAAAAGAAAAGAAAAGAAATGTTGATTTTTTACCAATACTTCAATTATTTATAACGTTATATTAGCATAATGTGTATGTTGGACCCTACTTCTATTCAATCTCAAGAATCAGCCGACAGCACAGTACCAGTTCCTTTAAAACGGTTTATTTTTCATCTTAAGACAAACAATTAATGTTTTTAAGCTTAGCTCTTTATTTAATTGATTCTTATATTTAATACAAATCCTATTTACAAATAAACAATAAGACAAATTTTCAATTAATTAGCAATAAAATTATGAATAGCAAACAACTGCAAGCAATTTTAATTTAAGTAGAATATAATTTATAATTATCATCCGTACATCCGAAATCTCATTAAAATAAATATTAATGTGATTCTTAAAAAACAAACATGTTTGGTTTGGTTGTTGTTGGTTGTGATGGATTGGTTACGACTGTTGATTGAACATCACTTTCAGCCGTCCCATGATTGGTATGATTCATACTTTGTTTCCACT